GTCAAGCTCGTTTATTGAGCTCAAGTTCAACTCGATAAGTAATTGGATTCGAACTCGGATTGACAATATTTTTTAATATTATTTAAATAAAAAATATTATTTAATGTATAAATAATGTATGTATTATATAATTTAAATAAAGATAAACGAGTTGACTCGAACTCAACTCATTTACTTTCCGAGTCGAACTAAGCCGAGCCTAACCTATTCATGAACAACTCGATTTATAACCTTAAAGAAGGTAAAAAACAAAAGATTTGACTTAAGAGATGCAGACTTGACGGAATAATTAGAAAATATTTCTAAAGCTAATTAGAGGGATAGCACCCATAGTGTCCATTACCTCACAAATCCATCCTATTCTCCTATTTTAATTAATAAATATCAAATTAAAATGTCACGTGATATTATTTAAAATGAAAAATAAATTTCCCTACTTACAGAGAATGTAATCATCGTGTTTGAGAAAACAAAAAGTTAATTACATGCATGGCGTGTCATGCAATTATATACTTTCATCAAGTTGTCGGATAAGAAATTCGTTGATGAAGACATTCACCTAGCTGTGATTTGAACCTGACCGGGCATACAATTTCATCAGAGATAGGGACAAATTAATCAAAAGAGTAAGGGTTAATTATACTTCCCTCCTCTAAAAAGAGTAAGGGTTAATTATACTTCCCTCCTCTAACATTTTAATAATTATAGAAATCTTTCATATAATTTTAATAATTATAAAAATTTTTCTTACTTTTGAAATAATTATTAAGATTCTTTCACCATTAATCTTTTGTTAATTTATTTAATATAATATATTAATATCATGTACTATGAGTAAAAAATTCAAAGATTGCCTTTATATATTCAAATAATAAATTTCACTTACCTTCCTGAAGTTTTACAACAAATTAATAAAGATCTATGCATTATTTTAATAATATTGAACAAAATTATTAAATTTTATACAATATTTTTTAAAAATTTAAATTGTGAAGACAAGCATATATATAGTAGAATGACCAAAATTACCTTATCTAAAAAATAAAAATAAAAAGCTAACAAATTGATCACCATCAAACCTTATCCTAACAATCCTTTATTTGAAAATTACAAAACAAAATATAAAAGATTTTTATTTTTTAAAAAGACCACTAATTTTATGAACAACTATTTTGAAAGATAAGAGTTTGAATTAAAAATGTAAAAATACATATAGGTATTTGTGTTTTTTTTTTTTTTTTGGGTATGAAAAATACATATTTTGAGAAATTATCCCTCTCTTTCCATTTTCTTTATTTTGTTTCTTTCATTTTTTTTATTTATTATATCATTCATTTTTTTGACAGTGTTACTGTAGCTAATAGCAACAGCATATAATTTATTATTATTATTATTATTATCATTATTTGTTCTTTTCTCTATGCTTGTTCTTCAGAATTTTCATTATTTTTTTATTTTTTATTTATATTTTTTTTTATCTTTCATCAATGTTAGCTAGTATCACCCAATACCATAACAACTTATGAAATATGATTTTTTTTTTGTTTTGTAAACATATTTGTGTATTAAATTTTTTTAAGAAAAATAAACATAATAACATTTCATATTTATAATAAAAAAATTGGCTTATAAAAATTACCAAATGTTACCTCATAAATATATAAAAAAATTATCATTTTTATCTTTTCACAACCCTATATTATTATCAAATTTTAATTTACATTTTTGAAATTTTCAGACTCCAATTGATGGAATTAAAAAAAAAAGAGTCAATATTTATCACCTTAATAATAAAAATTTAAAAAATAAATATAAAAATGAAAAAATATATAACCACGTTACAATAAATTAAAATTAGATGATAGGAAATGAAAGAAAAATAAATCATTTGAGAATAATAAACTACATCTGTCATTTCTTACATCTAATTAAAACAGAATTTTACTTGACGAAATAAATTATTTGAAAATAATAAAATACTCAAATAATTTGCTATTTATTACATCTAAAATCTGTATCTCCATATTTGTTTCTTTCATTTAAATTATTTTTATTAAATTAAATATCAAAATTAATTCAAATATATTTTTTTTTCTTTTTTTTTTTTTTTTTTTTTTTTTTTTTTTTTTTTTTTTTTTTAACTTATAAAAGTTCAAAAACTTATAGTGGAAAAAAAAAAATACAAAGTCAAGGAAATACAAAAAAAGAAAAAGAAAAAGAAAGTGTGATAAATAAAATGATAGTTTAATATATAGTTAAATTACATTTAAAAGGTATTATGGTAATTTGCCCAATCAAATTAACACCGTTTGGGTTAAATTAACGGGAGGGAAAATTTTGACAATATCAAAAATAGTAAAGAAGGTTTATGTAATTATCAAAACTACAGATGATGACCCTATGATTGTCAGAAACTACACGGGAGGTAACTGGAATTTACCCAAAGAATAATAATAAAACACAAATGCTACTGTTTTAGAATTTTCATCACATATGTTTCTTTAATACGATGTATTGGTGTAGTGTAGATTAAATATGAAATGAAATTAAATAATAAATTGATATTTTCTTAAGTAAAAGTTATAAAATTATAATATTTTTGATGATAAAATCGTATAACGTGAATATGAGATTATAGTCTTTTACAATCCAAAAATTTTAAATTTCAAAGACTCTTTTGAATATAATATAACTTATTACGAAGGAGGTATTACTAATTTTTTGTTCATATATTTTGAGTTCAATAACTAATTTTTTTTTTTTGGACAAGAATTAAGGTGGGAAAAGGTCTCTCATTTGGTAAAAAATAATTTTGTTTAATCACATAATGGACTAGTGAACAAAACTCTTAATTTTTATTAATTAAAATAATCAAATAAATCTAATTAAAAATAATAAAATTTACCACATTTACTAATAAAAATAAAAAAATTTATTCACATCCAAAATGGTCCCCGAGCATAGATCTACGCACTAGAATATTTTATTAAAATTGTCTGCGTCCAACGTGATTTTTTTATGTAGTTTTAATTTTATTATTTTTTGAATATGATGAGCCTCATAATATATACAATAAATCCGATTGTAAATACAAATTTATTATAATGAGAAAAGGTTACTTGTACCTAAATAAATTACAAAATAAAAGATATATAAGGAGTGGGCTTTACTGTGTGAGTTCTATGTTTAATTATTTTTGTGCACGCAGAATTATTATTATATATAATGATCATATAATGTAACATTTTAGAGTGTGCTTTGGTTTAATTTTTTTAATTATTTAGAAAAACTAAAGTCACTTTGTGATATGCCATTTGATTTTTTAAAATTAATTTTCTTATTTAACCAAAAAAATTAAAAGAAATATAATTTTTTTTTCAAGATTTGACCTTTGTGGTAAAATAAACCTTGAGTTTTTAGGCCATTTCCAATGGTTCATCAAATCTTGCATCAGATTTGAAATTTGGTGAAAAAGTCACTTTTTTGAGCTCCAATGGTTTCAGCAAATTAGTATCAAAATGAGAATGGAATAAAAAATTCATCAAAGTGAGAACATGCTCCAAATTTCACTATTTTACTGTGCTTTACCGTTGGGGAGACCAACCGGTCAACCATTCGGATGTCCGCCCGGTTGACCAACCGGTCGACTGGTTCCCTTTTAAATAGATAGGTTCAAACAGGTCGAAAGGTTCAAACAGGTTAAAAAAAAAATTAGTCTTACCGGTCGACTAGCTGGTCGACCCTTCCCTCAATTCTGTATATATTTTGTTCGACAGGTTTGATGTTCACCGTTGGAGGAAGCCGTATCAAATTGAGAAAACAATCTATTTTTTACTCAGATTTGGTGAAAAAATAAATGAACGGTTGGAGATGCTCTTAGTGGTGTTTTGGGAGGTTGGTAAAAAGTTGACTTTTTGATTTTTTTAGTCTATTTTATATTTTTGTGAGTAAAAAATGCGAGAGGTGATGCGACTTAAAATAGGTAAAAAGTTAAAAGATGACTTTTTATTTGGTTGCCAAAACATCCCTTATTATTTTTTGAATACGATGAGTATTGGTCTTGTTTGAAAATTTTGTTATTTTAGTTGATTATTTGGCTTTTGATTGTTTTAACCTAACTAAAATAGTCCTGTTTGAGAAATTAGTTGGTTTTTTAAGTTGATTTGATAATTGTGAGAAAGAAAATCAAATGGCTATCGGTTAGATTTGACATTTTATGTTGACTATTTAATCTATTTTATCTTTTAATGGGTTATTTAAGCCCCAACCGTTTTCCCAAACACTCCCAATATAATGTTTGTGATAGACTAAAATAGCTAATAAAATAAAATATCCAATCACATCACTCTCTTTATATTTTTACATATTCGTAAAATATCAAATAATCAATTAAAATTACTTATTTTTAGACGGGGCCTATATACATACGTAGAATTGTATTTTAATTATTAAATTCAATATAAATATATATAAAATATCTAAAATAACAATTTTTATTGAGTGCAATGACTAAAATAATTATTTTTTCTTCAATTTTAATTAATGGAAATAAATAAATAATTTAAATTATAAAATTAAAATTAAAATTAAAAATGACAAAATTAAATATTTATTTTGCTAAAATATTAGAACCATGACCCAAAATTAAATTACAGAAATCCTTAGCGTCTCGAATTCAACAGCCTCAAATGACTCAAAATTTGTGTTTATTAGTCGACTGACCGAATAATCATTCGAGCAACCAGATAAAATATTTATCTATCGTGATTATTTCCTTATCGATCACAATGACCAATTTTTTTACCAAACAACCTGTAAAATAAAATCCAAACTATTGGAGGCAAGTTATTCGTAACATTGCTCATTAAATTATTGAGCATATTCCAAACGCTCCCTAACTCATCATTTTGTTTTATAATAAAAAATTCATTTCCCTCCCTGTCACTTCCCTGCTGCACTCTGTCTCTCTCTCACACACACACACGCACCTCTTCACTCTCTCTCATCGAGGGTTTTGCATTAAAGCCCTACTCCACTCCAGTCATTTTCTCTATGCTTTTCTCATTCTAGAGTTGTAGAAAACCACTCTCACTCCTCACCACCATGGATTCATATGAAGCAACAAAGATAGTCTTCTCAAGGATACAAAGTTTAGATCCAGAAAACGCCTCAAAAATCATGGGTTACATATTCATACAAGACCCTGGAGAGAAAGAGATGATTCGCTTAGCCTTTGGACCAGAGTCTCTCCTGATATCTCTCATCAATCAAGCCAAAACCCACTTGGGAATTTCATCGAACACTTCATCTACACCCTCCACACCTTCCTCTCCTTCGCCTTTCAACAACCCCATGTCGAACCCCAACAACAACAGACCCACTCACCAATTGCCTCATTCTTCGCCTCGAGTCATCGTCCCCAACAATGGGTTTCACATCAACCCCCCTTCGCCTTCTTCGCCGTGGTCTGTTTCTGGGTTTTCCGATCACCGAAGCCCCAGCAATCAGATGAGTCCCAGACCTCCTTCTTCTCTCTCCTACGCTGCTGTTGTCAATGGAACCAGTAATGGCGGTTCTGGTTCGTTTTCACTACCACCGTTTTATAGTAACAGTAATAGTAGCGATTTGAACGATGAGTTCAACATTCAAGTGCGAGATCAACTAGATTTTGTTGTTGATCCGATAATGAGTCCGAGTGGTCGGAGCGATTCGATTCTCTTCCCTTATGCGAACACCGTTGATTCTGCTAATTGCGGTAACAACCACCAGCACCACCATAGGAGGAGTTGTTCAGTGAGTGATATGTTTCTTAGTGGGTCTGAAGATGGAGGATCTGGTTTTGGGTGGAGACCCTGTATGTATTTTGCTAGGGGTTTTTGCAAGAATGGCAACAATTGCAAGTTTTTACATACTGGGTTTTCAGATTCTACTGATTCTTCACCTGCCATTGTTGGTTCGCCGAGCAAGTTTGATGGGTTTGATGAGTTATTGACAATGAAGGCAATTCAGCAGCAGAGATTTGCTGCGGCTTCACAGTTTATGTCTGGAGGTTCTTTCCCTTATGACAAATGCATGAACATTATGAATAACTCACCAAGGTACATTAATTTACTGATTTTGAGTATGTTTTAATTGTAGGTATTTGGTGTGGTAATGTTTTTTGAGTGTTTTTTTTGATGGCATTGTTCTGCATGTATTAATAAAGGAGACATTTTTATATGTGGAACCAAGCAATTTGTTTGTTAAATATCTGCTTAGGTTCTGGATTTTTGGATTTGGATTTATTTCTGGTGTCATCTTTATGCCATTGTGTTGCAATGTAGATCTGCGGCAGCGACATTGATGATTGGGGATGAATATCTCAAGTTTGGTCGCTGCCGACCGGAAAGGAATGATTTTTCAGCTATAGGATTCGGAGGAAATGCGAATTCTTGTTCTAGGCAGATTTATTTGACATTTCCAGCTGATAGTACATTTAAGGAAGAGGATGTTGCCAATTACTTTAGGTAATTGATTCATGGTTGTTTGAATCTTTCGATATTTGAAATTCAAATTGAGCATTTTGCTTAAGATAGTTTTGTTTATTGATTTGAAGCAAGTTTGGACCAGTGCAAGATGTGAGGATTCCATACCAGCAGAAGCGAATGTTTGGGTTCGTTACATTCATTTACCCGGAGACTGTGAAGATCATTTTGGCCAAAGGGAACCCTCATTTCGTTTGTGATTCACGTGTGCTCGTTAAGCCGTACAAGGAGAAGGGAAAAATCCTTGACAAGTAGAGACAATTGCTCTAATTCTTTCTTTAGTTTCTGTTTGTATTGCTTACTTTCATTTGTTGAGTTTGCATTGTTGATTGAATGATTGTTAGGAAGCAACAGCACCATCAGTTGGAGAGAGGAGAATTTTCATCGTGTTTAAGTCCGTCTGGGATTGACTCTGGAGAGCCCTACGATCTCCCCATTGGTAATCATACAAGCAAGCTTGCTTTTTTCCCCATTTATTATGCAACTCTGTGTATTCAAGCTCCCATTCTTACTTTATACAGGACCAAGTATGTTTTACAATACTCCAGAGATAATGTTGAGAAGGAAATTAGAGGAACAGGCTGAATTGCAGCAAGCTATTGAGCTCCACGAAAGACGACTTATGAATTTGCAAATTATGGACTTGAAGAATCATCATCAGAGTCATCAATTCCAGACGAACATGGTGCCTAACGTTCCCATTGCCTCTCCTGCTCACCTCCATATTAATCAGAGTCTAGCGTTTCGATCTGATGGTGTTAATCAGGAAGCCTCAGAAGGTTAACTAATAAGAATCATTATCAACAGTCATCAATTTTCATGCATTTTCATTTTTTTTTAATCAATGCTTTTAGGTAGTTTATAACTCACTCTCTCTCTCTCTCGTGTTTTTTTTTTTCTTTTTCCCCAGAGAATTATAGTAGCCCAGCTGCATCCAATTCTCTAACTGTTGCCACTGAACAGCAGGAGCAACATCAACAGCAAGACGCAAAAGAAGCTTGTAATAACAGCAATGCCCATGACAGTGGCAACAGCAAGGAGCAATGCTCCAACCTTGAAGATGCTAATCTCCATGAAAGGTATAAATAAAACATCAATTTCAGATTCAGCTCTATACTGTTTGGGTTATATTCTGCAGGTTGCTCTTCTTTGGATAGTTTTGCATTAGGTTTTCAATTGTAGTTTTTTATTTTTTATTTTTTTTAATAATTTTCAAACTTTGTGTTTGAAATGGGTGCAGTTTAGAGCACATCCTCCCTGATAACCTCTTTGCTTCTCCTACAAAATCAGCCGGTGAACACTATTCTATCTTCACTGCTTCACCAGAAGCCGATGATAGCACCTTAGTAACAACTACATCATCTAACAACATCCCAATGCTGCCCGCCACTTCCACCCTCAATATGGCTTCTCTGTTATCATGTTCTTTCCAAATGCCAAGGTACTACCGCTTCTGCTGCTGCTCTCTTTCTCTCTCTCTCTGACTAGAGTGAGTGAAGTTAATTCAAATTAGTATTGTTGTTTACAAGGTTTTCTTCTGGGCAAGAAGCCATTGAAATGTAGGTGATAGGGGTGACCATGATCAGCATGTTGGGCGTTGACTTTAGCTTGGGTAAGAGACTATCAATGTTGCATTTCTTTGATCATGCTGCTCCATTTTTACATAATTTGCACAATTTCTAGTTGAATATTGATTCTTGGTAATGTTTGGCATTTTATTTTTTCATTGATGCAGAAAAGTTGAGTAGAGCATATAGAAGGAAGAAAAAGTCATCTAGCTGTATAGCCAAACCATACCATCAACAAAAAAGAAAAAGATCTGTAAGGAAGATCTCCTCAAGATTATTGTCATCATCAATACCATACTCTAGTTACAACTATACATAATGCATACATAAAGGACAGATGAACTAATTTATGGGAGTGGGGTCTGTCTTTATTTTTGTACCCTCTGTAGTTGTAGTTGTAGTTGTAGTTGTAGTTGTGTGCTGGACCACACACAGTGCAATATATATAGCATAACAAAACAGTTGCTAGTAACTCTTGTTATATTGTTAATTTACCTTTTTTTTTTTCAAACATTTATTATATATATATATATTGTTTATTATCGATACCACACTCTCTTGAGGTGAAAGTGAAAAAAGAAAGAAAGTAGGAAAATATAAGTTACAAAGATCTGAAACAGAACTGTAACTACTACACTTAGCAATCCCAAAAGGGTAAAGAGTGGTGTAAACTTTAGTGGTTAAAAGCTGGTCTTATGTCACTCTTTTTTTTGTTTTAAATGTTCTTGTTATTGCAGAGCATCTGTCATCCAGTGGATCATCACTCAAAAGAAAGAGTGGAGATCATCACTCAAAAGAAATAAAAAAGTTGCTGGTGAGAGACAGAGGGAGGGAAAAAAATGGGGGAGAGAGAAAAAGGATGTTCTTTTAAGTGATTAAAGGTTACTTTAGGGGGACTCTTTTGTCTCATTTTTGGTTTCTTTTAGGTGGAATGAAGGGAGGAGGGCCACACTGTCACATGGGTGCTGACACCATTTGAATGGTATCAGGGTACCAAAGACACTCCTTTCACTTTCAGTCCCTACTGGCCTCAATTCAGATTGGAAAATATATATTATGGGTTTTTGGCCTTTTGTTTTATGGGTAATGCTGCCCTACCCTTATGTTTTGGCATGGTTTTTAATTTATGTCATAGTGGGTACATTTACATGCTATTGAACCCATCAGGGTAGCTTAGAGTATCTCTTTGAAATTGGGTGTTGGTGTGTAAATAGACAAAAAAAAGGGTAAAAGTGAGACTCATCAATTTTGTGTTAGAATCGTTCATTTAGTGAGTGAACGAGTGTTCCATTGAAGATATTAAGGTGTGTGTTGGATAAGAGTGGTGTCCACTTGAGTACGTATAAATGTGTCCCACATGCATGAACGCCCCAATTGATATCCTCTGCTAACATCTCTAACATCTGACCCGACCCTAGTTCCATGTTCAAGTTCAAGGCATCCATTGGAGATGTCCTTAGTGTAGCAGTTTAAGGTTGTCACTGGGACTAATCCTAAGTTAGGAAGTCTTGTGTTTTAACTCTCTGGTTTTATCTGATATCTGTGACTCATAAGCATCCGGGATTTTACCTTGTAGTAGGGGTAGGCCTAAAGTGACTCTGTCTTGGAGCTTTCTTTGCCATAAAAGAAGAGAAGGAAAAAAATACATGTTTTTTTAATTGATTGTTGCCCTCCAATTATGTTTAAAATTGCACTTTGACCAACATTGTTGAGTCCTAAGCAGAAAGTACCAAAAGTGGTGTGTGAATGGTGATTGTGTTGTGTGTATTTTAAACTAACCAAATGAAAAACAGTCACGGGTTACTGTAGAATCTCTCTCCTTTGAAGTCAGTGGAGATCCTGCTGTTTCTGTGTCTCTTTTTGATTCTTTTGTATATATGCTCAGACAAAACAGAGCATTATATAGAAAATAGAAAATTGGTTATTGGGCCCCACCCTGCTTTGTATCTATCTTGCATATTATACACACAAATGTATATTGAAAAATGATTTATAAATTTGTTATAAAAAACAATGATGTTGTCTCCTCAATGATATTTTTAAAAAATATGAGGAAGTTATTTTATTCTGTATGAAAATTTTATCCAAAATTTTTGTTTCTATATCATTATTTATATATATTATATGTTGTTTGCTGGAGCAATCTATGGTATGAAATTTGACATTGAGAGATTCATAGCTGGCAATTTATAAAGTTCACTTGATTTGTTGAATTTTGTGTAGTTGATTCACTTTATATGTGAAATTTTTTTAAGTGTGACTGACATTGCCAGGCCAGCATTATTCATACAATAATATAGCTGGCTGATTTGAAATTTCTCTACCTGATTGGCGGGGAAAAAAATAAAAAATCATAGGCTATGTTTGGATGTTTGATTTATGGAAGGATTTTTACTTCATTTTTTTGCCCTATTGCCTAAAACGACTATTCTCGTTTCTTACACTTTTAAAAAAAAAAAAAAAAAATTGAAAATACATTGATAAATAAGTTTTTTTTTTAAATTTTTTATTTAAAAAACAAGTGCAATTAATAAATCTTGTAAAATTCTATCAGTCAATACATTGTGTCAAAAAGTATGTATTTTAGTCAAAAAGTAAAAATATTTCACTTCATTAATCTCATAAATAAGCTTCTAAAAACAAAACTAGGAAAAATTATGCACAAGTGAAATCTTTCTAAAATAATTATTGTTCCATGAAAAGTTTATAATTTTAATTATTAATTTTTTTAAAAAAATTTTCTATTAATCTAAAATTACTTTTACAAACTTCCACTCATTTGTTGTCTCTCTCTAAAGAAGAAAAAAAGAGAGAGCAGAGTTTGCAACATATATTCTAGGATGGGCCCAACTCGACTAAATTGATCCAACTTGATTGATTTTGGACGGATGCGTGCCTTTTGGTGGATGTATACGGATGAAATATTTTAAAATTTACAGATACAGTTCGGATGGTGGATCAATCATATCATATCCGCATAAATTCGATCCGCCCATAGATGAAGTTAAAAAAAAAGGAAAAAAAAAAAAAAATTGCTAACAAGTAACAATATAAAGTAAAAGTAATAAAATATATATTTTTGTGAAAATGAAAAATAATACCTTAAAAATATGCATACGTGGTGCCATTGCCTATTATATGCAAATAATACATATTTTTTCAGATTACTAGTTATTAGAGATTGTGAAAGTTGTGAATTATAATTCAAAAAGATGTCCAAAATTTATAAAGTCGAAACTGTCGAACCGATCGCATCCATCTATCAACCCGCACGGCCCACTCAATATGTACCAATTGAATCGGTGGACGGATGTGGATTGACTTTTTTCAATTCGCCTAATTTTGGACGCATAGCAGATGGGAAGTCACTCGACCCGATCCAATCCGCAATCACCCTAATATATTTTCTCCCTGGGTCCACCTGCTAGACCGTCGGCCTTTTCTTGGCCCAAGTGCTTGAAATATGTTTTGGCAATGGCTTAGGCATACATGGGCTTGTCCCGTTAGGCTTGAGTAACGGCTTAGTGAGCTTGTTTAAATCTGACCCAATTTTGGCCCGTGACACTTTTTTTTCTTGAGATAATATTGTTTTAATAGGAAATGATATTTTCATACTTTGCTTACTTGCCTCCCACATCACACTCCTCTAGTGGTTACAAAATATTATTGAACTGGACACATGACCATGTATTTCAAATTCATGTGATACTTTATGTCTATTGTATGGGGACAATATTGCAAAAATTGCAAAAGAAATTTTATGAGGTTAAAAGGAGGATGTGAATATTATTTTACTTTTTTATTCACACACACATATATATTTTGTGTATAGCATTAATTTAATAAATTGTGATATGGTCATCATGTAGATCTCGATTTTTTTCTTGTAATTTATTGTATGTTTAGTTTGGGCCTATATATTCGTAATCAATTTTATTCTGATTTGTTCATCTTATCATGATCAATACAAAAAATCAAAATGATCAAATAATTGGAGTATTGGTGTGGTGCCGGTTAAAGACATTCAGATGCCTTTATAAGGGTGTAAGTATAGAGAGAGAAAGTAGAGAGAGAGCGAGTAGAGATGGAGAGTTTAGGGTTTGGATGCATACCTTGATCTTTTTTATAGAGGGTATTTGCCTTGGGCCATTGATGACGGTGGGCCTCAATCTTGTTGGGTCTTGAGCCATATGGGTTCAGTAAAAAAGATGAAAAACAAACCAATCAAACTCAATAGGAGACGATGAATCGCTTTGGAGTTCAAATGCAATGCACAATTGAGGCACCACATTGTTGTCCATGTTGGGTTCATGTGCATGCTTTTTATTCGTCCACTAGCTATCCATTGGGCTCTATTTATTTATTTGAGTTTTATTATTATTTTTAAGTTTTTAAATCATCTAGTTTAAAAATTGAATTAAAAACTATAAAACTTTAGTTTAATAGATTCTTTTAAGCAAAGGTATGTTGACTCGATCAATTTATAGAAATTAATCCTTTTGATATATGATTTTATTTATTTATTTATTTATTTTTTTTATTTTTAATTTAGTTGATAGAGTTTAAGTTTCTTAGTAACTACCCTAACTAAAAATTTTTAGGGCAGGCAGTGGATAAATTTTGTTTTTCACTGATCTAATTATATTGTAGTTCTTATACAAATTAGTCGTTGAATGATTAAACTTTTAAGCATGAGCCATTTGACTTTATTTGGCCCCAGTATTTGGAGCAAAATTTTTCAATAACTTGGGCCTACTACATGGCCTTGTCTATTCTAATATTTTACTTTTTAGGCCGGATTAATGTCTCAACGAGCTTGGTTAAGCCCGACCAATCAACCCATTCAGTGACACCTATTTTCTTGAGATGATATGATATGTTTTTAAATGAAAAATAACAATCACACTTTCTTTTTAGCCTCTCATATTACACGCCCCTTGTGAGGGGGTAATATGAACAAAATTGAAAAGAAAAATGAGAGTGAGAAGTGAAAAGGAGGGTGTGAATATTATTTTTCTTTGCTATGCATGTGTGTAGCATTAATTTAATACAAAGATTGTCATACAGTCTTTCATATAAATCTTAAAATTTTTCCTCCTAATTTAATTTATATTCAATTTTTCCTCTAATCTATCCATTTTGTAAGCTACTATATATAGATCATAATTGATGTAAAAATTCATACTGATCTAATAATTTTATTAATTATGTTTTAAAAAATTGATAATCAATTTTGAAAAATCATTGTGAGGATATATTTTCTGAATACCAACACGTGGCAAGGTGACGCCGACGTGTCAGCCGAAGTGCCACGTGTCCTGGTCGTGATGCCGAAGTGATCTCGGCAAGGCCGAGGTTATCTCCGAAGATATCGAAAACCGAGATAAGCGGATAAGGGACAAGAGTCCTAGAATGAAGAGGGAACTCAACTTGGATATGGACAAGAGTCCTAGATTGGGAGAAGACTTCAGTTTGGGTAAAGATAAGACTCTTAGAGAGTTTATCCTAATCCCACTAGGAGTCCCAGATTAGCAGTAATCCTAAGTCC